TCTGAGATGCAGGGAGCCAGTGTAAGGACTTTAGAACTAGGGTGATGTGCTCTACTTTCTTAGTCTTAGTGAGGACACGGGCAGCAGCGTTCTGGATCAGCTGCAGCTGTCTGATCCACTTTTTATGCAGACCGGTGAAAACACTGTTGCAGTAATCAATTCGAGACATTAGTCCTTTAATCCTGGAAATGTTCTTCAGGTGATAGAAAGCCGACCTTGTAATTGTCTTTAAATGCTTTTGGAGGTTCAAGCTGAACCCAGTACTACACCTAGATGTCAAGCACACCTGGTGTGGGTCCTTGCTCGAAAATTTGGTTCCCACACCCACAAAAGTGAGCCTCCGACTTGCTATCTCCTCTGGTGTGAGAGGAAGCAGGGTCCATTTCCGTAGCTAGTTAACTAGCCAAACTTGGAGAAGAAAAGGGCTGAGCCGACTGGTGTGAAAGCCCAGAACAGGTAATATTAGCTGGTGTGCAAATATAGGTGGTAATAGCTCTAGACTTGAGGACTTCAACAGGGGGCCCGCGACCCCTAGGGGCTCCACAGAGGTACTGCATGGGTTTGTGAAAGTTTTAGTTCATTCGATTTTTTTTTTTTTTTTTAGATTCCCCCATGAAATTTTTTTCCACAAATTGAAATGTCTTTAAATGCACATTAATATAAATTCAATGCACGTAATGTCTTTCAGTCATCAATGGACACATTCAGCGACACACAGGAGCTCTTTCAAGCTGGGCACCGTTTCATTCACAACACCTGTCCTATCAACCAGGAATCACAATCAGAAATACTTTAATAATCCCAGGGAGAAATTACTTTACGTAATAAAGTGACTATAAGACCAGTTTGATATAACACTATTTCATACAATATATATAATTAGGGGGTCCCCGCTCCATCTCGCCATCAGTTTAGCATTCCTTGGCCTGGAAAACATTGAAGACAACTGCTCTAGACTATGGTGAAGACTTGAGTTGTAGCAGCTAGCGCCAAACCCAAGAGAGTTAGCTAAAAATATTTCTCCATCTAAGAAGAGGTTTTTGAATGATGCTGCATCATGTTGCATGCTACTTACAGGATAGGTGACTCGGTGGTCGCAATCACCAGCCAATTAGGATTGGAGTAGTGAGATAAATGCTTCTTTGGAATATGGCAAGGGGCGTATGCCATAGTGAGAATGTTATGAATGACAACAGAAATTCTTGTTTTTTTATAGCACTGTAGTTAAAATAAGAGAGATAAGACATCTGCACATCCTAAGTGCATGAAATTCTGCATCTTGTTCTTTATTGGAGTAAAGGAACAGAGAAAGAGTCAACAGTGATTTATTGAAGCTGTAGCTTAGTTAATATCTGCCGTGATGGCACTGGTTACCAGCTGTTTGAACAGGAAACCGGAGAGCAATTACCAAAATGAGCTGATCAGCATGTAACTTCTTCTCTAAAACTGTGCAATCAGTTGAAAGTCATCTGATTGCCCTGTTCCAAAGGTACATCTACTGACAGCACACATGCAAATAGCATGATTTGCCCTAAGTGTTTCCTCCTTGCATTTGGAGGCAGGAGAAAGGTAAAAATATTGCTCTCACTTTTACCCAAGTATCTCTGCTGAGGGTAAGGGGAAAGTCTACCTAATCATTGGAAATCATTTAAAAACAAGTCTTTTCATATTTATTTATATTTTAGCATTTGCTGCTCTCACCAGGTCTGCTCGGCACGCTGACTGGGCCAGTCCAGACGACACATGTGGCCAACGGTTCCGTTGGTTTTGGGGAAGGACTTGAGGGCGCTGAAGACGGGATAGGGCACCATGACGAGCAGTGACACCACCCAGGTGGCAGCGATAACGCGGTAGGCATGGGAGCGGGTCTGCCACGCGCGGGACTTCAGAGGGTTACAGATGGCGCTGTACCTCTCGATGGCGATGGCCACCAGACTGAAGGTGGAGATGCTGACAGAGACGCCTGCAGGTAGGAAACACAAAAATGGAGAACGTTACTCAGTCTGACTGTAGAGTTTATATATCAACAGGTGGACATTAGTTATGAAGCTTGGATTCCACTCAGTTTGTCTTTGGATCAACCCTACAGTGGCTGAATCAAATATGTAGACAAGTCATTCTAGTTCTTTTAGTTTTACACATGACTCTTCTGCAATAGAGATGGCAAGTCAACACTTTACTTCCTTTTTTCCTCATTCCCTTCTTTCTCTCCTACTTTCAATGCTTTTTTCCTTGAACCCTTCCTGTTTAGCATTGGTTCCATCCTTCTGTAAAATCATCCTATCTCACCGTTCACCAGAATAACCTTCCCTTCCCCTTATATTTCCTTACTTTGTTTTGTCCATTCTGTTTTATTTCCTTCCTTCCTTGCTTCCTTCCTTGCTTCCT